TGCGTAGTTGTCTAAATTGGGGTCCCTTTTGGGTCCTCTTTCTAAGGGTGCCGTACTATATTGGGGACCTAGAAAAGGACCCTAATTTAGAAAACTACCCATATGAACCCTAAGCGCTGTTAGGTTTCGTCCTCAAGGTTCGGGGTCTAGCACTTAGTGGTTAGGGTTTAGCGTTTAGGGGTTTAGGGTTTAGGGTTTAGGGTCCCTAAACCCTAAACCCTAAACCCTAAAACCCTAGGCGCTTCGGTCGACTTAGTGGATAGCGTTTAGGGTTTAGGGCTGGGAGCCGAAGGGTTTCGGGTTTAGGGTTCAGGGTTTGGGGTTTCGGCTTGCGGGTTAAACGTAGGGGCCTTACTAATTAGAATAGGGTTTTGGGGGCTCCTTATTATAATTGTAGTATAATGGGCCCCAAAACCCTAATCAAATTACTACGGCCCCTATATTAATGTTTAGATTTCGGGCTTGAGGGTTTGGGGCTTGGGGGTTTAGGATCTTGGGCTTTCGGGTTTCGGGTTTACGGTTTAGGGGTTTAGGTAGGGGTTTAGGGTTTAGGGGTTTAGGGTTTAGGGGTGTAGGGTTTAGGCTTAGGGTTTAGGGTTGAAGTTTAAATTTAAGGCGTACCTTGTACCTGACGTCCTCAGCTTGAACGAACCCTAAGCCGCGCAAATGACAAATCCAAAGGCCAAAGTAGCCAAGTACTTATACCGGAGATAACTCCGGAAGCCATAGTATCATGGAGTAGATTAGGGGTTTAGGGTTTTAAGAGCAGTTCCTGATATGGAAAACATGTTTTTGCTACGTAGGTGCTGAGGACCCCGAGGCTAACCTAAACCGCACATTTCAAGATATCTTGAAGAGCGCCTTATGGAACGTCTTAACGAACCTCTTCAAGAATTCTTGTAAAGACTCGTACGTAGAAAACCTCGCGCATGACTCAAAAAGCCCAAAAATCCCAGGCCCTAAACCTTCCAGCACCCTAAACCCGAAGCCCTAAACCCTAAACCCTGAACCCTCAACCCTAAACCCCTAAACCCTCAACCCTTTAAAGCCCTTATATAGAATTGAAACTCAGCCTCGGGGGTGGCGGCCGGGGGGATGCAGGACGTGGGCGGTATACCTGGGCATTTTGTCGGAGAGGGCAGAGGGTTTAGGGCTTAGGACTTATAGGGCTTAGGTTTAGGGTCTAGGGTTTAGGATCTTACAAACTAGAACAGGATTTTAGGGTATGCTCTCGTATCTACTTATATTAAGGAAACCCTGCAGCAGCCCCAAAGAAAACTATTACTACATATTGGAATGTGGTTGTTTTGGTGCTTCACAAGGATTTTGTTACGGTTTTCTAGGGTTCTATCGATAGATCAGAAATTCACACAGGCATACAGGCTTTGAAACAAAGGCGTGAACATGCCAACTAGACCAGGATGTTGGAGCAAAGTTTACACATAGAGACCGCAGGAAAGTATTCTTATGGTAACTACTGAGACCTCTACATTCGACCCTAAACCCAAAACCCTAAACCGTTCCTAAACCCCTACACCCTAAACCCTATGCCCTAAACCCTACACCCTAAACCGCCTTATGTTTTTAGGGTTTTGTGTGTACCGGGTCGTGTGCTCACTTCCCCAATAAGCCAGAGACGGTTTAGGGTTTAGGGTTTAGGGATTAGGGTTTAGGGTTTAGGGTTTAGAGTTTAGGGTTTAGAGTTTAGGGTTTAGGGTTTAGGGTTCAGCCATCAGAACCTACTGTTTTGTACGGAACATGGGGTTGAAAGCTCTGATGCCCACATCAGGCAGCGCAACACCTTGATGATGTCAGGTTTACGGTTTAGGGTTTAGAGCTCGAACCTCAAAATCCAAAACCCCTACACTCCGGTGGGAGCAACATTCATTGCTGCGCAGACGCGCACGACAGTCCGTTGTTGAGAATTGCATTTCCTGCCCATGCAGGCTCTCCACCAATCTCCCCATCGGCGTCGCTATTTGCCATGAAAGGTTGGACTACGTATTTTAGTGAGCACCCGCGTGCATGCATGCAATACAACCTGCATGCATGCAATACAACATACATGCATACATGCATACGTACATTAATACACGTTACATTATTTAAAGTACATCACATTACATTACATCACATTACATTGCCTTACATATTACATATTACATATTACAGATTACATATTACATATTACATATTACATATTACATATTACATTACACAACAATACAACACGTTTACAATACAGCAACATTACATTACATTACACTACACTACATCACATTACATTACATTACATTACATTACATTACATTACATTACATTACATTACATTACATTACATTACATTACATTACATTACATTACATTCATAGCACGTACATACATTTGACATACATACACACAGACAGACAGA